CCTTATTACCCCCATTTTGCAGATGAAGCAACTAAAGCTCAAAGAGGTTCAGCCACTTGTCCAAGGTTGCCCGACCTGTAAGGGCAGTCAGGCCCTGAGCTCAGGCCCTCACCCGCCCAGGCCCCTTCCACGGAACTGGAGGCCCCTGGCACTTAACCAGAGGCCTCACCCAGCGCAATCTGCATTTCAACAGGGAGGAGGCCCGCTCCCGGAGTGAGGTGCCGATGGTGGAATGTCAGGCACGGGCCAGGCTGGTGATGTGCCAGGGGGCCTGGAGTATTTGAGAGGACGGAGTGTCTTCCCAGCAGTCCTGCAGTAATGTGATGTAGGAGGTCTTCTGACCCTACCTAGAAAGCTCCACTCTTGAGTCACCCTCTTCCTCATTCTAAGCCCTGCTTTAAGGGACAAACACACGCGTGCGTCTGGGTGAAAGGCCTTGAGGGGCTCTGCCGGCAGGGGCGTGGGGCAGCGGGGGAGAGCTCTGCTTGGATTCCTTCTTTTGCATCTAGCTCTAACGCTAACTGAAAATAGGAAGGGGAGGGGCTGTCGGGATCCTCCGCTTGCCCTTTAAATTTCTTGGTTCCCTGTGCAATGGGAGGCTTAAGCCAGGGATGCAGGAAGCAGGGAGGGGAGAGGAAGTCTTCCTCAAAGCTCTAACCCACGGTTGGCTTCCTCAGTCTCGGCACTATCACCTTGTTCGCTGGTCTTCCTGTGGGGCTGTATGTGCACCGTGGGACGTTTAGCAGCACCCCTGGCCGCCACCTACTGGGTGCCAGCAGCACCCCTCAGCTGTGACAACCAAATGTGTCTCTGGGATTGCCAAATGGCCCCGGGGGGAAAATCAGTGCTAGTTGTGAACCACTTTTCTAAAGTCGCACACACACCCACACACACCTGCTCTCGCACAGGAGCACTTGACAGGGAAGACCTGACTGGGGAGGAAATGGTTAAATGAAACCAGATGTCAGCCCAGAAAGTATGCAGTCCAGCCACACCCTCCTTCCAAAGCTGCCTGTGCTGGGCCCCCCAAGAGGGGATGGGGTGCTCTCTGCCCTGTGCAGTTAGTCACTGGGGGCCTCACCAGGCCCCTGGAAGGGGCAGGGCCAGCCCCAGGTTCCCTGGGTTTCCCTCTCCTCCTCCTCATTTTCCTTGCCCAGTGTCTTCTCTTCCTCCTTTCTTTCTTCTTTCTGTTTGTCTTCTTCTTACTCATTCTGGAGACTGTCCCAGTTTCTGTGAGGGCCTCGTTCCTAGATGTGCGTGGGGCCCTGGGTCCCCCCCACCAGGGTCCCGAGTGTTGCAGCAGCAGCAGCAGCAGCAGCAGCAGCAGCAGCAGCGGCTGGGACCTAGCCAAGGGGCAGACCCGGGGCAGTGAGTCCAAGCCGGGGCCTGAGTGGGGGCAGAGAGGGAGGAGAGTGCTCACTTCCTGGTTCCTGTGCTAACTGGTCACTGGTCTCGGGATTTCTGCAAGGTTCTCACACACCACCTCTCGACCTGAGGGACTCAAACAGCCCTGGGCCTTAGTTTCTGCATTTGAACACTGGGAGTGACATCTCAAACGGCTCTCAGGAGCTTTTGCAGAGCTGAGGGGTTAGTGCCTGGCACTCGATAGGTGCTCAACTCTGTTGGTAAAGAGCATTGCCCTTCCTTCCGTGGGGTCTCTGGTAAGACCCCCAACCATTCTGAAAGCATCTGCCTCTGTTTCTCCTGATACCAGCCTCCCAAGCCCAAGGTGCAGGGCTCAGGGGCCAAGACTGAAGGGTGGGCTGGGGATCAGGTGCGGGCGGGAATTGGGGCTTCTACAGTTCCCTCATCTCCATAGCCACGGGCTGAGCTCTTCTGCCATGTCTGGAGGGCAAGAACCCCACATCCTCAAAGTCATGCTTAACAGGAAGAAACCAGAGCCACTTCTGCAGCCTGGGAAAGGGAAGATTCTGTTGGGCCCGCTGCCAGCCTCAACACTGTGGATAAAGAGACTGTCGTGGACTCTGTAGCAGTGACTCTCACTGCCCTCAGGTGGCGTTAACAAGGACGAGGGACATTTTTCATCTGGCACTACTGGGAGGTGGGCAGAATGAGTAAAGACCAGGGATGCTGCTAACCACCCTGCAAGGCTCAGGACAGCCCCCGCCACAGAGAATCATCCAGCCCAGCCCTGGCCAGTGTGGCTCAGTTGGTTGGAGCGTTATTGTCCCATAACCAAAGGGCTGTGGGTTTGATCCCCGGTCTGGGTGCGAATAGGAAGCAACCAATCGATGTTTCTCTCTTTCATCGATGTTTCTTTCTCTCTCCCTTCCTCTCTCCTCTCCTCTCCCTCTAAAAGCAATGAAAAAAAAAATGTCCTCAGGTAAGGATAAAAAAATTAAAAAATAAAAGAATTATCCAGCCCAAAATGCTAGCGGTGCTGAGGGTGAGAAGCCTTGCTCTCCAGGGCTTCCTACGTGTATCTATGTTCCTATTTGTGACGTCTGAGCTGATTGCACACCCAGAGCCTGGCATACAAGAGGGGTAGTTTTGAATGAATGAATGGAGCAACTACTGTCATAGCCTCATCTCCACTAAGAGATGGTAATTCATAGCGTAAACCCTGCCCTTTTCAGTGCATCGTCCTGTCTGTGCAGGGCCCAGGAACCCAGAATCAAAATCCAGCATTCAGAACCCCGGTGTTCCCGCCAAACTGGGCAATCTGGCTGCCCGGCCGCTAGCGAGCCTGGGGGTTGTGGACTGTGGAGGGCCGCCTCGGCAGCTCACCTGCCGCGCAGCACACCTGGCAGCAGCTCAGCGAGTGGAGGGGACGAGGGCAGAAATGACTTGGCATGCCCTGTCCCCACAGTGCAGTGGGCACAGCATGCATCATGGAGTATAGGGTGTGGGCCTTGGGGTCAGCCAGGCCTGGGCTCAAGTGCCAGCCTGGCTTTTTACCAGCCACAGGACCCTGAACATGTAACTAACCTCCTTCCTTCATTTTCTCAACTATAAATGGGATTACTAATAGTACCCTCCTGCAAGCGTTAATGTGGGGATCAGAAGAGATACTCCACTTACTTGGGTGCTGTACTCGGAACCTTTGGTGTCCACAGCCGTCACCATAGCTCATTTCTGGTACTTGCCCCTCTGCTTGTAACCCCGAACCCCAGGGCTGAGCCTGGAAGGGTCTGGAAGGCTGCGGAGCACCGTCCCTGCCCCTCTCCAGCTTGGCTGTGTGCCAGCCCTGGGCTAAGCTCCAGGGACCCAGCAGTGACTGGGGTGTGGTCCTGGCCACCGAGAGTGGTTCACAGGCTTGTGGGAGCACTGGCAGGAGCCCCAGGGCCCCAGTCTGGGAATAGAATGAAGCGAACACAGCACCTGGGTGCCAGATGTAAGGAAGCACTCGCTGCGCCCTTGCAGGACCCTGAGAGTGAGCACCTCCTTAAAAACAATGCACTTGCCTCACCCTAGCCCCAGCCCAGCAAAGGTTGTATCCCATGTGGAATACCTGAAGCACAGAGGAGGGTGAGTGGGGGGTGGGACCGCAGCACCAGAGGCTTGGAAGGATGAGAATTTGGAAACGCAAAGCTGAGGTGCATGCAAAATACTGAGTAGGAATATCTAGGAGTAAAGATGCCTTGAGGAAAGCCCTGGGCATGCCTGAATTGTGCAAATAGTTTGTAAGTCAAGCACAAAGGAGCGTACATTGTGAGGGAGTGCCAGGGATTTCTTTTGTAAAATAGCGTCTCAGCATCCAGTAATTCTGCAACTAGGTGTTCCCTCCCAGTCCCCTGGGGGCTGTGTCCTGTCCCCACAGACAGGAAATGGGTCCCCCTGACAGCTGTAGCTCGGGAAGCAGGCCAGAGGCCGCCTGTTGCACAGGTACCTCGCCCTGCGCGGCTTGCTGTCGTAGTTCTGAAGGCCCCTAGTGAGATGGCCCCCAGTGGCTGGGGGACAGTGGGGCCTTCAAAAGTCAGAGGACAGTCACAGAAGGTGACAACAGAGCAAGGAAGCATGTGGGGACCTTGTGACAAATGTGGTGACGGGGTCTCCTAGCGGGCCCGCCTCCACATCCGACTACCCGACCTGGCCGGCCGTGGTGGCTACGGAGAGAGGCATTGTCGCAGCAGGCGCTTAACAATGGCAGGTGTTCTAAAATAGAACGAGCCGGCCAGTTAAGGGGGGGAGCACCCTTCGTCAGAACTCAGTTCACCGGAACCGATGTTTATTGTGTGCTCGTAAACACTTCAGTCTTGAGTAAACGTAGGAATGGGGTTTTGGAGGCTGTTATGTCAAGGATAAGGGTGAGAGGCAAAGATGGAATCTCCCTGGTGACAGGGAGGGAGGGCGCGCCAGGCTGGGGAGGCCACCTGAGCAGGGGCCATAGTCCTGGGAGGACAAGTGGCCAGGGATGACAGGAGTTGACCCAGCAGGTGGTAAGGCTGGGACGTAGGGCGTGGGGAGCCCCATCCTGAAACGCCTTGCCTTCCAGGCTGGGGGCCATGGGCTTTCTCCTCTAGGTAGTAGAGACCGAGGGAGACTCTGAGGAGGAGGGCCACACGATGTGGCCATTACTGCAGAAAGATGAGAGTGCGAGTGGGAAGCTCAGGCCAACAAGAAGGGCAACTAGGAGGCAGGAAGACGGGTAGAAAGCTGGAGTGACCCTGCAGGAGAGAAGAGGGGTGCTCGGCTGGAGTGGTGGCAGAGGGCTGGGAGAGGAGGGCCAGAGGAGACTCGGGGGGCACTGACCGGACGTGGGAGGACCGGTGGGGGTGTTTGAGGACAACCCCAGGCTCCTAGCCTCCGACTGCGCTGAGGCCTCTCAGAAGCAGGGGAGGCCTGCACTGCAGGGGCAGGGCGGCGAGACTCGAAGGTTCTGCCCGGAGGTGTCTGGCTCCACAGCCAGCAGAGCTGTGCTCCTGGGTGGCCCTGTGGGTTCTGATCAGTGGCCTTGACCTCCCGCTCCCACTCCTGGCCCCAGCAGGTGAAGTACCAGTGTCCAGTGCCCCAGCTCTCCCCTTCTTTCTCCCTCCCAGGATGCACAGAAACCCTCAGCACCCAGCCATGGGCCAAAGACACCATCGGGCAAAAAGATGAAGGCTCCCCTGTCCCGGTCGTGGAAGCAGGACCGTGAGCAGACTCTGGCGGCAGCTTATGTGCCAGTGGTGGTGGACCCCAGGGGCCAGAATGTGGACAAGCTCAGGTTCAATTTCTACAGCTCCCAGTACTCCAACTCCCTGAGCCCCTTCTACACCTTGCAGAAGCCCTCCTGCGGCTACCTGTACCACCGGGACACCGACCACACCCGCAAGCGCTTCGACGTGCCTCCTGCTAACGTGGCTTTGTGGCGTTCCTAGTCCTGTGCCCACCAGAAGCCCCCGCCTGCTCCCTTGACCCCAGGGTCCCTGGGCCTCAGGCAGTGGACCGTTCCCCGGGCTAGGGCAGCTGGGACATGCCCACTCTCAACACTGGCTAAGGGAGTTCTCTCTCCTTGACAGCAATTAAAGTTTGTTCTTCCTTTCCCTGGCATCTGAACAGGTGACTGTGAGTGGGTAAACTGAGGCCATAAGGGTGTTTTACAGCAAGATTACATCCAGAGGGGTCTGAAAACTTGGACTTTATTCTTAGTCCCCTCACCCCAAGAGGAACCCCTACTCCCCTTCAGAGCCTCTGCTGGTCATACTCTCCCCATGGTCCGGGCTGGGCAGACCTGCCAGAGGCAAGAAAGAGATACATCAGCTGACCACACCCCCGGCTCTCTAGGAGGCCCTCTCGTCCCACGCTGGAGCTGCCCCTGGGGTGGCTTCCCCCTACATGGGGAAGTGACGTAGGGAGTGAGCCCGTCTCGAGGGGCCTCCTCTCCAGGCCGAGTTTTGTATAAAACAGCCACACTTGACTTGCTGTTTACTGATGGGGGATGGGATGGATTTCCCATCTCAGGTGTTTCCTCTGGTCCAGAAGAACTGCCTCCAAGGTTACTTAGGCTCGTGGGCCATGATTCTTGGAAAAAGGGGATGAAGGCAGAGAGTACTTGACCCATAGCAGCGGCCTGAGGGAGTCCCTGGTCCCTGCCAGCCAGGGAACCATGGGATCGGGACCAGCTCTGAGCCGCCCGTGAGCACGACGGTGGGCCTCTCCTCCCATTCCATGGTCTGCGGCTTCATGTTGGTAGCTTGAACTTGGCTGTGGGAGTAGTTACACCGTGGAAATCAGCTAACACCTACGAATTGTTTCCTTTTCCAGAGACTCAGTGAAGTCCCCACCAGCACTGAGTGGGTCTAACTGGTTTCATTTCTTGGGGTCACGGCCCACCTCAGGTCTGCTGCAGAGTGCACTTCCCGGGCACGTGAGGTTGGGGCTGACACGGGACGGCAGGGCAGGGGGCTCCCTGCTGGCTTCGTCCGAGAAGAAGCTGGTGAGGAAGGGCCGTGGCCCGCCTGAAGATGGCCCGACCAGCCTGGAATGCAGGGGTTTTGCTTGCTATGGGCTCTCTTTCAGGTTAGAGGTTTTCCTCAGATGTCTGGGGATCCAGGCTGGAAACAGGCCATTTGGCATCCGTACCTGGTCACTCCTGCCTGGTTGTGGGTATGTGAGGAGCTAGTGTAGGAAGGAGCTGGAGCGGGGGGTGTCTCACTCTTCCCTTAACTCCCCAAATTTCAGAGCAGCCCTTCTGCCTTCCTGAGTTGTGCCCAGAGGCCAAGGCCTCCCGGGTTCAAACCTCCAGAATAACCATCGGCCAGGGTCAGGGAGGACAGATGCCTCGAGACGCCCGTTCTGCTGCCTGGCAGAGGGCATCTGGGGAGGCATTTGCTTCTTCCACAAACTCTCCACCTGTTCCTTCAGGGCGCCTTCTGCCCTTGAAACCTCAGGGCAACTGAGTTTGGGGCCCGTGCTGCCCGTCACCACTCAGCCAAAAAGCAGAGACAGGGACTGGATTATAATTGCTCCCTTATTAATATCAGAGGCCCGCAGTCTGAGAAGGTGGAGGGTAAAAACCCTCACATCCACCTTCCCTTGAGCTTTCAGAAGCAAGTTTATATAGGGGAACCGAGGGGATTTGGGAGGGGGAGATTCCTTGGGGGACACAGATGTGCTGTTTCCCTTGGGAGTAAGGGGAGGAGGAGCCGAAAGGGGAGGGCAGTGGAGCAGCCTCTTCCCCAGCTGGCGCCCTTTGTCCCAGTGATAGCTGTCCGTTTGCATGTTTGCATAGAGCGTTCCTCTCCTCCCCGACACCTGAGGTTTATGGCCAGGGAAGCTAAGTATTTCGGGTTAGGGAGGAGAGGTATGAACTATCTACTCTCAAGTGTCCTCGGTTAGGGGAGATGAGGTCTTGTGATTCACCTGCAGGCTGTAAATTGCTCAAATTGTTTGGCCTCGTTTAATTTTCTTGTCTCAGTTTCCCCATTCCACTTGCTCAGGAATTTTCCCAGCTTCTTACGCTCCTGCCTCAACACCCACCGCCTGAGCCCGCTGAGCCTCCCGAGCCACAAGCAGGCTTTGGGACTGCGCCAACCTCCGTGTCTCCCTGCTCCTTGAAAGCATTTAAGTCTCAACTTTCCACACTTGGATCAGTTACCACTCGTCCGTCTGCCTCCTGTTCTCTACAATTTTATTCCAGCCTCTGATCTGCTGTGTTCCTTCTCTTCGCTTCTGCGGGTGTGTGCTTTTAAAAACGCATTTATTGCCATTGATGTGGGATTTTGAAAAGGAACAGAGACAAATAAAAGTTTTCCACCTATATGAAGAAGCCAAAAGCCTTCATTTTCCATCCAGTCAATCAGCACAGACACCTGCCGAATACCAGGTGCCGGCTGGGTCCTCGGCCGCAAAGATGAACAAGAACCATCTTGCTGCCCACACCTGACAGCCCCAGGGGCAGTGAGAGGCGAGGCCAGCGCCTCCACTCCCTGGACTGGCACCTCCTCCTGTCCGCTGAGAAATAGTCTCCCCCTTGAGGTTCACCTTGGTAGAGCAGCCTCCATGGAAGGTTCAGGAACTTTTATTTTATTTTATTTTAGTATTTTTAATAGATTATGCTATTATCGTTTTCCCAATTTTTCTCCCTTTATCCCCCTCCACCCTACCCCCAACCCTCCAGCATTTCCCTCCACCCCATAGTTCCTGTCCATGGGTTGTACATATAAGTTCTTTGAGTCTTCTGTCTCCTATACCATTTTTATCTCTCCCATCTATTTTATTCCTACTAATTGTGCTTCTCCTTCCCTGTACCTTCCTTCACCCATTCCTCCTGTCTTCCTCCCCACTGACCTCCCTCTGTGTGATCTCCATTTCTCTGGTTCTGTTCCTGTTCTGGCTGTTTGCTTAGTTTTGTTTTGTTTTTCTTTTAGGTTCATTTGTTAATAGTTATGAGTTTGTCATCATTTTACTGTTCATATTTTTTATCTTCTTTTTATTAGATAAGTCCCTTTAACATTTCATATAATAAGGTCTTGGTGATGATGAACTCCTTAAACTTGACCTTATCTGGGAAGTACTTTATCTGCCCTTCCATTCTAAAGGAAAGTTTTGCTGGATAGAGTAATCTTGGATGTAAGTTCTTGCCTTTCATGACTTCAAATACTTCTTTTCAGCCCCTTCTTGCCTGTAAGGTTTCTTTTGAGAAATCAGCTGATAGCCTTATGGGAACTCCTTTGTAGGTAACTATCTTCTTTTCTCTTGCTGCTTTTAGGATTTTCTCTGTCTTTAATCTCAGGTAACGTAATGATGATGTGCCTTGGTGTGTTCCTCTTTGGGTCCAACTTTTTTGTGACTCTCTGGGCTTCCTGGACTTCCTGGAAGTCTATTTCCTTCACCAAATTGGGGAAGGAAAACCAGTTCAGGAAACTTTTAAAGAAGCTGGTGCAGGTCCCACGTGGGTCTCGGTGGGATGGTCCCAGCAGGCAGAAGGACTGGTGCTCAAGGTTCTGCTGTGTTTCTGCAGGGGAGGCGAGGGGCTGGCGGGCAGCCTTGAAAAGAGATGTCAGGCCTGGGTTTGAGGCCCCTCCAGTCTCTTCCCAGCCTGGCTTCCACCTCTGGTGCCTGCCTCACCTGTCCCTCTCGTTGGCGCCATTCTGCCAGCTGGATCCTCTCACTCTGGTATGGCATCTATCCCAGGAAGGATTCCTGCAGACAAATCAGCCCGGGAAAGCCACAAGACCTCCCTTCGTGTCCACTCCAGTGCCCTCTCCTCTTCCTGGAGGCCGTGCTATGGATCCCGTTCTCCCTGGCGTGGCGTCTGTGTTTTGGGGGAGAAACTGGAGAGTGGGACAGAGAGGGCCACTGAGGAGGGAGAAGCTGGGCTCTACGATTGAGAAGCTATGGGATTCTATTCCCACCCCGGTCTGTAAACATGGGGGGGCCTGCACCCCGAGGTGGCCAGCTCCCTGCCAATGAAATTGCGCGGGCAGGGGGGCCACACGGGAAGGCGCTGGAGTGAGGGGCTGCCGGGGCCTCCGACTGCATCCAGGCCTCCCTCAGAGATTTGAGGACGGGCTAAAAGTGTGCTGATGAGGTGGAAAGACTCCTCGTACCACCACTTAATATTTTTTTCTTTCCCTCTTTTTACTGAATTTATTTGGGTGACAGTGGTTAACTAAATTATACAGGTTTCAGGTGCACAGTTCCATAACACATCATCTGTACACTGTACTGTGTGTTCACCACCCGAAGTCAATTTTTTTCAATCTCAGAATGTGATTTGTCTGGCCCTGGCCAGGTGGCTCAGCTGGCTGGAGTATCATCACGTACACCAAAGGGTTAACGGTTCAATCCCTGGCCGAGGTGCATGCGGAAGGCAACCAATGGATGTTTCTGTCTCTCCCTCTCTCCCCCTCTTCCTCTCTAAAATCAATAAAGAGATTCTCAGGAGAAGATTGAATAAAGAAGAATATTATTTGTCAGCCCCCCGATCCCCACAGAGCTGTGTGATCCTACTAACGGTGCCTCGAATGCAGTAGATGTTCCGTGGAAGTTCCATCCTGCTTGAGCTTTCCTGAGTCACACACGTGCACATTCACTTAAATTTTATTCAGCTCCAGCCCGTCAGTCAACTGGTTGGTCATCCTCAGAAAGGTCATTGAGGAGAGGTTAATGAGGGGACTATTTACAGAGAAGTGGGAGGTTTAGGGGACTGGTACTGTGCCCAGTGAGAGTGACAACTGTTCTTACTCCTAAGCCTGCGGGGGAGGAAAGGAGGCTTTGTTCTGGGAGCCCCGAGGGAGCTCTCTCTGGCAGGAGCTGGGGCAGAAGGTAGAAGAAAAGACCAGTGTTTTCCTTTTCCGCCCTCCAGCATCTTCCCAGTGCTTCTCAGTGGATGAGCCCAGCCTGAAGCCAGAGGGCAGGGGAGCTCGGTGACCGGTCCATGGGGGTCAGCCTCCTGGGCTCACAGCAGGCAGAGAAAGGTGGAGAACGAGTGGGGAGGGGCAGACAGAATCACCTGCAGAGGACCACGTGGAATCCCCGGTACCAGGTGCTGGAGGATGCAAGAGGCGAGTAAGACCATGGTCTCTACCCTCCGGGACTTGCTGGAT